TAAGGTGAGAAAGAAAAGAAAGAAAGTAGCCAAAAATAACCAGCTTATTGCAAATATGCTTTACATAGGGCTCTAGACATCAAAGAAAAAATACTTAGAGATCCATACGTCAAAGAAAAAAAATGCCCCATAATGGAAATTAAAAGCTGCTTCAGGTAAAATTGGCCAATTTAAATTTTATCATAGAATCACAGAATCATATATGTTGGAATGTATGAATATGTTGGAATGTATGAAGCAGTTATTTTCACTTTCTCTGTTGAAAATTGCAAATCAGTTTTATAGCTGTCTGGAAATGTAGCCAATATTATATGTTCAGTTCTCAAAATGTATAATGATGACCTTACTTGCATTAGCTTCTCTCCACTCCACATCCACAGTTTTTAGTCTATACATCTGGTAGACTTGCCAGTTTTGAGTAACATTAAATGACTCTGTCAGACTGGCAGAACACTCATCTAGTAGTTTACTGGAAGTTGAATGGGAAGGGGGACACTTCATATTCTAAGAAAAAGTTAGACTTTTAGACTCTAAAGAGATTATTTACTTTTTTGATATTTAAATGGTGATCTGTCTTAAATACACCAGGTTTCCTATCTACACACCCTGCATAACTGTAAGACTGGGATTAATCTTTGTATATCTTGAAAACAAGGAGACATTATGTCTTTGGTTTGGAATAATTTCCAAAGACTTTGATATGCATTTGTAAAACTAACAACTACGTGTGTTGAAGATGTTAAAGGTTCCTACTGATCTGCAGAGAATCAATATCACAGCCACCTACACTGAAGCTTTTACTTTTTTTTACTTCAGACCTCTTGCTTTAGACTGAAGTAAAATTTTATCTGCGAGACAGTGTGTTGGATTCTGTTGTCTCTTCCAAACAAACAATTGTTAATTTATTGCATGTGCATTCCATGTTTAGGGGACCCCTGGTGGCCTAGTGGTTAGCATGCAGGACTCTCACCTCTGCGACCCAGGTTCAAATCCCAGCCAGTCCCCCGGGCAGATGGAGCCCGTTAGCCCTGTGAGGCCATCCATCTATGAGAAGGTCACTCTAAACAAACCTACATCCTGAGGACCTCACTGCCATTGTCCAAGCTTGCTTGGCCCCGGCAGATGAACCTTAGGATTAAAGGGTGGGCTCAGTTCAGCGCAGGCTGTGTCTCACCTAAAAAATCCATTGCGCAGGCTGGAAAGGTAAAAAAGACCTTTCCCCAAATCTTCGTTCGCGAAGACTGGCCATTATATGTTGGAATAGACCTCCAAGAACGAGTCCATCCATCAACATAACATTTCCAGGTCTACCACTAAACCATGTCCGTAAGTGCCACAACTGCATGTATTTTAAATATCTCTAGAGATGGTAACTTAACCACTTCCCTGGGCAGCCAATGCTTGAGAACCCTTCGAGTGAAGAAATTTTTCCTGACATTGTGTAAACCTCCCCTGGAGCAACTTGTGGCCATATCCTCTCATCCTGTCCTTGTTACTTGGGAAAAGAGACCGACTTCCACCTGGCTACAATCTTTCAGGTAGTTGTAGAGAGTGATATGGTCTCCCATGAACCTCCTTTACTCCAGGCTAAACAACCCCAGCTCCCTCAGCCAATCCTCATTGGACTTGTGCTCCAGACCCTCCACCAGCTTCATTGCCCTTCTCTGGACACACTCCAGCACCTCAGTGTCTTTCTTGCCATGAGGAGACCAAAACTGAACACAGGATTTGAGGTGTGGCTTCATCAGGGCCGACTACAGGGGACACAATCACTTCCCTGGTCCTGCTGACCATGCTATGTCAGATACAGGCCTTCTTGTCCACCTGGCCACCTTGTCCACCTGGGCACAACCTGGCTCATGTTCAGCCAACTGTCAACCAGCACCCCCAGTTCCTTTTTCACCAGACAGCTTTCCAGCCTCTCTTCCCCAAGCCTGTAGTGCTTGTAACACTTCAGCCCTGGAGCTGCAGCTCACAGGCTTAGCTGGGAGTTTTACTTTAAAAAAAAATAAATATATATATATATGTACAGATATATATATACAGTTCTTTAATTCCTCAAGATGGCATTAAGAGCATAAGCAACAGACTTGTTCCCAAGAGGTGTCTTTATTAATTTAGGGGAGAAAATAAGGGAACTTGGCAAAGGTTCAAAAAGGGCGGTACACAAGCTAGACAAAAACGTTGCACAGTACTGACTCAGCAGATATTAATCCACAACAGTTAAGATCTAATCAATCTACAACACTTAAGTCAATATCCGATCCCTCCAGCTCCAAGCCACCCAAAGCATCAAGAAAGGAGCAAAGAAAGAGAAGCAGAGGGAGTAAGAAGAGAGAAGGAGAAAGAGGGAGAGTCAGGTTATATAGCTACCATTGAAACGTTGTGGAAGACCAGCTCTCACACATCCAAGCGGCAGGGCCACAACATGTGGCAAACATATGCCTTTGGTTTTATCTGCTGTGGTCCTTATGGCCAACTTGCCACTCTGGGGTTCTAGACCAGGGTGAGGGGCAGTGTCCTCAATGTCCCTGCCAATAAGGCTGGCTTAGGGGCTCCAAGAGGTGTGGTGTCTTATAGTTTTCCCAGGCTGCTTGTATCTGACAGCTACTCCGGGGCTTCCCCATGTGGGCTCCAGGGGTCTGCCACGAGGGATACAACGCCACCCCACCTCTGTAAGGTTCGACCTGTCCCTTCTCCCTCCACACACACGCGCGTGCGCGCGTGCACACACATGCAGTCCCCACAAGGTGGTTCTGACCCAATAATTACTGATCTGATGTCTAACAGTGCTGCATGAAGTTGTTGTGACCAAAGGGTAGGACCTGGCACTTCATCTTGTTGAAGCTCATACATTTGGCCTTAGCCCACTGTACTGTCCAGATCCCTTTACAGAGCCTTCCTACCCTCCGGCAGATCAACACTCCTGTCTGACTTGGTATTGTCTGCAAACTGACTTGAAAGGGCAGTTGATCCACTTGTACAGATCATTGATAAAGATAGTAAACAGGACTGGCCCCAATACTGAGCCTTTATGACTGATCACCAACTGCAAGTAACTCCATCACCACTCTTGGAATTCTGGCCATCCATTTTGATTCTATAGGAATTTAAAAGCACTTTGTTATCCGGTATTTTCTTAGACATAGATTCTTAATAAGTGCAATACTCAAAATACTGAGTATATTCCATTTCATAAAAAGCAAGGTAGTTGAGAACAACCTAGAAGAGGTATCAGATTAAGTTAGTTCCTAGCTTTAGTGGCAGAACTGTGGTCACATGGAACAGCTGCTGCTTTCGTTAGTGCTGACATCTGCTCTTGCAAAGTTTTCACACTTTGAGCTCCTTGATGAGTCTAGAGTGACATTGACTGGCAGTACACTGTGTATCTTTTTTGTTTCTAGGCTGGGAATGAAACTTTGATCTTCTCCTTGGCAAGGAGAAGTTCTCCAAGGAAAACTACATGTGCAGCAACAAAAGTTGATCTTACTGCAACTAAAAATACACACTTGTAGTTTTCTGTTTACACTTTTCTGTTACTTTCTGCAAATAATCACAGATTTGCTAAGAACTTGCTATTGTTTTTGTTTTGAAAAATGTCTTTTTAAAAAATCTTATATAAAATTAAAAACAAATCAAAGATAGAGTCCCTAAAAGAATGGAGAAAATACTCCTTCTGAGTTGCTTATTTTTCCTACTCCCCAGCATCAACCAAGAATTTCCATGAGGAAAAAATTTTGAGGTGTGTGCACCAGAATGAAAGATCACTGACAAAATTTAAAATACAGGGAAAAAAGACCAAAGCTACTGTATTTAACCCGCAATACTGACTGCCTCATGTTTGTTTTTTTTCCTGAAAATAGGTTTCCGTTTTAAAACTATCCGTTCCTGTAGAGATCTCCTATTTGTAGTTCTTAGGAAATTGGTTTTTTTTCATGTCACAAACATAGTTTTAGAGAGAGAACTGTAATTGAAATGGATGGCAAAAATCTTCCAGCATTTTTCAGTAAATGTATAAGAAAAATTCCCTTTATCAATTAAATAAGTCGAAGTGCCTGAGATTTACCTCGATTTCACAAAAGAAACTCTTAACCTCTATATACCAAATAGATGCACATTTCTAAGATAAAATAATGGAGTAAATTAGCTGTGTGAACGATGTCAAACTAAAACTAGGCCTAAGAGAGCAGATGGTGCTGCATTAAACTAAGTGTGTAAGTGATGCAAGTAAAACCAGAAGTTACCAATTCAGTGAAATTAATCTAAACCCCAAACAGTGAAAATGTTTTCTTTTTGAAGAAAAGTTATTTATCCAAAAAATGTAATCAAATATTTAAAGACAAAAACACAGCACAGGCAAAAAACCCTTACTGTTCTGCTTGCAAGTTCTGGAGTTTTCTAGCTCTTAATTTAGTGGTGTTTTATTTTTAGCTTTCTCCGGTGTCTCTGTATGTCTATCCATCCCATACTTTCACTATCCTTCTTCAATGCCTTAACACACCCCTTCCATTTATCTACTTCCAATTATTCTTTTCTGATTTTCTTTCACCCATATCTATTTCTTTGCAAACTTCCATCCCTTCTGTTTCACAGTCCAAGGGCTCTGTCCTCTGACACTCCCAGACCTGTCTCTGCCCTGCCTCAGGGAAAACTTTCTCAGATAATCGTGATAGTTTCTTTGCCATGTTACTAAAAAGGGCACAGGTGGTAGACACTTTCTCTGAGAGATTTCAGTTAGCAAAATATGTTTTTATCACTGTTTTTATCACCAATTCTTTTCAGATCCGAGCTTGTTGGTGGAGTAAAAAAGTGGAGTGCGGGAACCTAGATGAGTGCATGTGTGTGTCCCAGAAACTGGTTATTAGCTAGACAGCTGTTTAGTATTTAGCACAGTCTGTTCTTCCAGGTTCATTACAGAACTAGGAAGTTTGCTAATGATGGAAGAACTAGCTTTGGTTTCATCTGGAGCATTATAGTCCTGAGTTAACCAAAAAGAGGAATGTGTTCTGCTTGTCAGAGCAGAAGTACATGAGAATCCAAAAGGGGTTGGCAAACTGAAAGACTAAAAATGGCATGAACAAACTGTTTGGTTTTTTTTTTCAGTATTAGTCTGATTCAAAAGAGAATTTTACTGAAGACAAGTTTTCAAAATACAAAACATGTTTTGGCCTCAGGACTGACTTTGATCTTTAAGTCCTGGCCATGTTCTCTGATCATATTCCCCATAAACCCCTCCCCATATTTGTTTCCTTGTGAAACAAATGGGTTTGAGATTTTGCATCCAGAAACTGCATCAAAGGGTACAGTTTTCATTATTTTTTGCAAGATGGTCAAGGTCCCATCAGAATGCAAATCTGTAAGCTAAACAAAAAAAACAGTCACAAAATATTGGAAAGTTGGAACTACAGTATTAGGGACTATCAAGCAACAGGTCTACCATGAAATACACATTTTGTCTAAAGAAAATAAATTTGAATTTTTAGCAAACCTTATAGTAGTCATTTACTGACACTGAAACGTTGGGCAGTTCTGCACGTGTGCAATTTATGGAATGAAGGCAATGATGCACATTTATGATTTACACTGCGTTTTGTTGAAGTGTATGACACTGTTTGTTGTGAAAGTCCCCAGTAGTGTAAACACTGCCCTATACATGAAAAGTTTCCTAGATGAATTAGATCAATTTGTTCTTTGAACTAATTGTCATGTAATATAGTTTCCTTGTTTTCAGCTGTAACTTTTCTGAATTGCTTGTCATACACTATTTTAATGCAACACAAAAGTACTGCTGATTGTAGTCTGTGATCATTTATTGCACTACACATTCCACTTGTAGAAATATGTATCTATTTAAATTCAAATGCTTTGTTTACTGAAATGATATTTTAAGGCTAAGGTTAACTAAGATTTCACTCATAAAATTTTGTCATAGTTCAATGGTGTCCAACGGATCACTTACATCTTGAGAGCAAAGAAACCTTTTGCAGCCAATGCTCTTCCCCAATTGCTTGTCCTGTGTAGTCACTAGAGGGCAGCAGTGTCCGATATAAAACTATTGCAACAATTTTATCCTTCAGGTTTGGCTCCTGTTGCAAAAACTAACACAGAAACCCCCCACATGGCAAATGCATACGGTCAAAACGTGGGTTAATATAGCAGAACATTTGCACTTAGTAAATTCAATTCTTTTTTTCAGTAAAACAACCTTTCTAGTGGTTTATTCTTTGAAAACTACCCCAAGGCTAAGCTTCACATTCAAGAATCTTATACCACCTGCCCACCCTTCCCCTAACCCTCAACATGTTCATTTTTTTCTATAGATTGGTTTGGCTGTTCTCATGTTGGAGTTTGTGGTGCAGCAGTGGCTCTGTCTATGGCTATGGGTGCCAGCTGCTGCCTTGCAAAAATGCATGGGTTAGTTTCATTCTTTGATTACTTTTCATTTTTGAGTACTCTCAAGTTCATAATAGCAAGGTTACTATTATTATAAAAAAAATTGCATATGGTAATTTTCTCTAAAGACAAGCATTTCATTATAGTCTTTGAATGGAGGGGAAAAATCCTCTAACTAACAATGTTTCACAGAATGAGGAATTTGTGCTATGTTTTGTGTCCTAGAGTATCTTGGAGATACTAAAGAGATTACTTCTTCCAAGAGTCTCTCTACATGTGTGTCTTGATAGCCTGACCTTGTTAATTTTGAGTAAGTAAATAATTAAAATATAAGAAGTAGAAGACTTTCACTGTGAGACTGTCCTGATTAGAGTTTTGGTAGTGTAGAGGCATACATTAATTGATAACTAATTTAACTAAAACAACTGTAAATGTTAAGACTGGCTAGTCCCAAGGTATTTATTTATTCATTGCCCCATTTCATCAATGTAGAAATGTTTGTTCTGTACCCTACTGATCAGCCTAGCGTAATGAACAAATGTTTGCAGTTGGAAACAAATGAGCCCCATGCTAGCCGTACTGTGTGCAGTGGAAAACACTTGCAAACAAAGAAGAAATAACTCATTAAGTGGTGAACCTCTAACCCTGGATCAAAGTCACTGACCTGATGCTACAGTAGCCTTTGCCTTTACTGTGGAGGCTGTGAGCTGAGTGAGAACTGGCCCACAACTGCCTCCACAGCCGCTGTCACTGAGGCTTTATATGGCTGCCTGCAGCTGTGGAGAGCTTGATGCCCCTGTGGGATCATGGGATGTTTGAATTAAAAATTTCCAGGTACTGTACAAAGAAAAGAGAAAAGGATCTGCCCAAATCTGCTGCTGTTGGCTGCTGGTGATGGTCCCAACCCTGCAAGGTGCCAGCCATGCTGGTGGGGGATGGATAAGAAGACTGGAGCATCCTGGGAACTGGCGAGTGAGGGTGAAGCGGGACCCTGGCTCTGGGAGTTGACCCAAAGTTCCCCCCCATAGCAGAGGGCCTGCTGAGTGGGGATGGGAGAATGGAGCCACAGGGCTGTGCCATCACTAGAGGTGGTGGTGTAAAACATTGTCCACTGGCATGAGTGGTGTGGTGAGGTGGTGGGTGCTCATGTCTGCTGTTGGGGATATGCCCGAGGCAGGATTCTTTTGAGCCAACCCCTTCCCATATTGTGTGTAGAGGCCCTGTGTGGGAGGAGAGAGAGAAGATGATGCTGCTGAAAGCTATCAAGGCTGCTGTGAGGGTGGAGAGGAAATTAATGTATATGAAAGGGAATAAGCTCAGAGGGTTGGGGAGAGATGTGAGCAGAGAGCTCAAAGAGGGTGAGTGGAGGACTTGAGAGAGTGCTGTTTATATAGGCAACCTGTAACAGCACCTATTTTTGAGAGGATGTCAGGGCTGCAGACTCTAAACATGCTCTTCTGCATTGCTAGGTGAATTACATAAAGAAGATTCATATTCAGTGCTCAGCTGGCCTCTCTGTGGTGTTTGACCTTGCCCCACTCTGGGTGTTGGTGCTACCTTGAGCTCCCACACACCATGCCGCGAGCAGGGCACAGCCCTTGGTGGGACTCGGCTGTACAGTTTCACAGTTTTATGTAAACTCACGTTGGTTTACATAATCTTTTTTCTTCTTTTTAACAGAGGATTTCAAGGTCAGTTGGTCATGTCCACTGTCTGGAACAGCCCCAGCACTGCCATTATCTATCCCCCTGATGAACCTGTTGGTGGCTGCAGCTACTGGAGATTGGGAGCTGGGGCATCCAAGTTTAAGTACCCAATAGACCTCTCCAGTCATCCTGGTGAACAAATGCCAAAATGCCATGCATACGTGGGCATAAGTTTGACTGTTTAAAAGGTAGGGTCTAATCCCAAATGGTAACTAGGTATGAGTTGCATTAGAGACCCCTTGGAGCACAAGAGGAGTTTGTAAGATGGTGGGTGTTGAAGCTATTATGAGATGATGGTGTTTCCAGAGACAAAATGGTTTTCTCCTTTGTCTCAACATGTGAAAAAGAATAATAAAACATAGGAAAAATAGGATTTTTTTTTCAAAGTCTCATAGATAGCTTTAATTTCTTCCTTGTTTTCTCCAGTTTTTGAGAGGAGTTGCGTGGGAAATAATAACATTATTTTGAAGCAAATTCACATGTATCTGTTCTGGAGATAGGTTTATATTCATGTGTGTGTCTGTATGTATTAATATATATACACACACACACACTTTTTTCCAAAGCGAGTTGCTTATGAGGTTTCAAAAGCCATGTTTCTATGATTGTTTTTGTGTTGCTTCAGTAACTCTGGAGCATTTGTCCATGTAATAGCATGGTCTTCTGCTTCACTGGTTATATAGAACTCATGCTTCAATAACTTTGTTTGATAGGATTCAGATGAAATGCTGCTTATTATATTTTGTGTTTAAAAGCTTACTTATAGCAAATAAGAAAAGCAGACATTTAAAAAGACATAATCAGGTTGATTTAATAGGCTAATTAGGTTTCAACATGTATTAAAGTAGAAGGCTGAAGCACTTGTTTTTAATTGATGTAAATGTTGCTGTTTATTGTGGTACAATTGAAATGTGAATTTTTGGGAAATACAGTTTTTGGTAAATGAAGAGATCTTAATTCCTTGTATAAATAAAAAAATCCGAATTGGCAGTGTATTTTAGAATTTGGAGATACAGAAGGTTAGTCTTCACATCTCAGCTAACTCAGTAGTCATAGACATCTCCAGTACCTTTCTTGCAGTTTCTTGCAGTTCAGCAGTTACAATGTGTCCCAGAGACAGATAAGGGTTTTTCTGGAACAAGTAAGAAAGTAATTTTTTGAAGCTGTGACTCTTACCAGCTCTGCCTTCTCGTATGTCACTGAAATTTCAGCTCAAACTCGGTTGTTAGTAATTCTTCAAATATGGCAAAGCAGAAGGTTTGTCTTTCAAATGAGTTCCATACATATGAAGTCTAATAGCTTAAACCCCAAACCTGGAATTCAATCCAAACTTGAAACAACTGATTGCACCTAGGGAAAGAGGGATGTGACGAGTGTTTGGGCAACTGTTTTTGATTGCTGGACTCAGTCTACTAGATAATGTCTACAGGCTTGTTATATTCACTTGGTTTACCCCCTCAAAACTTAGCAAATAAGAGACTAACAATGTCTAGGAGGATTTCTTCCTAGCATGCAAATGACAATCAGTTATGGAGGCTATCAGGAGAAACATGACAAATCATGGTTATTACACTATCTCCAGAATACTCTCCAGAGTCCAATCTATAAGATGTAGCTGTCTGCCAAAACACACTGACAATTTGATTCATCCTTTTTTAAGTAGCAGGAAATGTACTACTTGATGAATAAGGAATTGCTTGGGTGGCCACATTCAAAGAGTTGCAGTCAGTAGCTTGATATCCAAGTGGAGACCAGTGAAAAGTGGCATTCTGTGGGGATCAGTATAGGGACTGGCACTGTTTAACACTTTTGTTAGCAGCATGGATCATGGGCTTCAGAGATGGGCCTGTGTGAAGTTCAAAAAGGCCAAGTGTAAGGTCCTGCACAGGGGTCAGGGAAATACTAAGTCTAAATATAGGCTGGGCAGAGAATACATTGAGAGCAGCCCTGAGGAGAAAGACTTGGGGGTGCTGGTGGATGAGAGACTGAACATGAGCCAGCAATATGCACTTGCAGCCCAGAAAGCCAGTTGTATCCTGGGCTGCATCAAAAGCAGCATGGCCAGCAAGTCAAGGGAGGTGATTTCTGCCCCTCTACTCCTGTACTCCCACCAGGAGTGCTGTGTCCAGCTATGGGGCCCCCTCTGGAGCAAGTCCAGAGGAGAGTCTCAAAGATGATCAGAGGACTAGAGTACCTTTTCTGTGAAGACAGTCTGAAAAAATTGTGGTTGTTTGGTCAGGAGAACAGAAGCCTTCAGGCATATCGTATAGCAGCCTTTCATAAGCTAAAGGGAGGCTAAAAGAGAGCTGGAGAGGGACTTTTTATGAGGATGTATAGTGATAGGACAAGCAGGAATGGCTTTAAACAGAAAGTGTGTCCACTTGGATTAGAAAGAAGGAGGGAGTTTGTTTACAATGAGGTGCTGAGACACTAGAACAGGTTGTCAGATGAAATTGTGGGTGCCCTGGAAGTGTTCAAGGCCAGGTTGGATGGGGTTTTCAGCCACCTGGTCTAGTGGAAGGCGTCCCTGCCCATGGTTGGGTGGTTGGAACTAGATGAACTTTAAGGTTCTTCCAACCAAAACCATTCTATGGTTCTTTGAAATGTTATCAGATGTTTGGTATTCCTTTTTTAGTGGTAATCTTGGAACCACAGTTTCAAGGACTCTTCCATTCATGAAAGAACTCCAGAACTTCAGGAACTTCTCCACAAGAAGTGCATTTATACTACAGATACGATTTTTTTGCTTATGTACCATGAGAAGATAAACTTTAACTTTACAGTTTCAGTATAAAACTACACTGGTGAGTGAAGGATAGAGTGTGATCACTGTATTGTAAAACTCTTGTTTATTTTGAGAAAACCCTAGACTGTGGACTTCTGTCCAGGCTGTTTTTCCTGCTGTCTGGGTAAGTCAGGTATTGGTGAGGCTTAGTCCACATCAGCCAAGCTCACCGGACAGCTGCCTAAGCTATGGGTTTCTTAATTAAAGTGTGCTTAGTTTCAATGAGAGACAGCTGAAGCCCTAGCAGTGAGCAGGGAGAAGCATGTGTGTTGGGGACGACGGGAAAAGTACTCACACGACCACAGTATTGATCA